GTTCTATATGCTCCTCCAGCATGACTCTTGCTTATAAAAAAAAAAGCTTAGGATATTGTTATGTTTGGACAGAGCCAGGCTAGCTGTTTCCCCCTGTTTCCATTCTTTATGCTAAGCTAAGCTAACTGGCTGCTAGCTATAGCTAAGTTTGACTTACAGATATGAGATTGGTCTTGATCTTCTCATCTAATTCTCAGGAAGAAAGCATATAAGTGTATTTCCCTGAATGTTCCTCAAATCCTTCTAGCCCGACAATCATACTGACTTATTCTTTTGTGTTTGTTCGTATTTGAATCGCTGAAAGAAATTGGAGAGGTGGGCAGCCATTCACAGGTCTGGACCAGGCTAGAGTCTTCCTGAAAGACAAAGACAGTGGCATGCTGGGGGAGGATAAACACCAGTCAATGGCATTTCTTTTTTTTTTTTTTACAAGATGGACACCCAAATGTTTTTATTATCTTAAAACTGATTTATAAGGCCATAGTAAATTATTTATAAACCCTGATCAGGTAGTTAGAGATTATAAACCCTTTATAAAGATTGCCTTAAAAGCTACACCAGAGTATTGGACTTATAGATATCATTATAGATACCAAATACAGAGTGAATACCAAAGCAACACCTTCAAACTTAAAGTCGTTGCACTTCATTCATGCATTTAGATAAACGGAACAGATTAACATCTCTATATCAAATGATTTAAATACAGACTTTCGGGTGTGGAAAAAGTTTGATGATAAACTCAAAGCATGACTGATCTTGTCAGCAGTAGATGGCCGTTGAGATCAATCTGGAGAGGAGACTGGCCTAATTCTTGAGTGCTGGTTAAATTAGAGGGAATAATCTCTACATCCGCACAATGGGGGTTGAATGAGACGTCAATTTTTTGCAGTTGTTCCTAATAAATATAGTTTTACAAAACATCTATTTCTTCTGAAACATGCATCACGGAACCCCAAAAATCCTACTGCGTATTTCCGTGCGCTTTTTTTTTTTCTTTTTTCTTTTTTTGGAGCAGGCTGTATAATAACTACAGTAACATTAAACTGCCCTGAAGTATTTTTATTGCTATGAATGAAGTCGACACCCTAGCTCCCAAATAAGCCCCTCTCTGTGTGTCTTGTCCCGTCCTTGTCCGGGTGGTCGCAGCCCCTGCCTCTGCGCAGAGCGCGAGCTTTCTGCCGCAGCACCATGTTATTTGATCCTTGCTCTTTCTTTGCTGGGAAGAAAAGCTCGCCTCTTTCCCACGCTCTGAGGACACGTGGTGCCCGGAATGAATTGGATTCAGAAGGCCCTCCCTCCTGGTAAAACGTCACCTCTCTCTCTCTCTCTCTCTCTCTCTCACACACACAACACACAACACACACATCATACACACACAGACTGGGTTTACCTCAACTTGCTTTCTGACATGAATGTAAAAGAACTGTGTTTTTTCCTTAGTACATCCCAGTATATATATGTGCGTTTTTTTATTTCTGGACTCCTTTCCTCTTCTGGGGCATGCATGCCTTAACAGGGACGCGCAGGCGGCTCTGCTCCCGTCTTGTCTGGCCCCGGCCGACCCGGGTCTGGGCGCCAAAACCCGGCACAGCGCACAGATCTTCCTCGATCTATTACAAGCAACAGCAACAAAACACTATATGCGACTCTGGTTTGTTTCTGTGTCGCTGGGAAAGTCTTGTCCATCAACACACAGCAATAAAACAGAGATATGGCTGCAAAAAATAGAACTATGATAGACTTTGTTATCCTGGAATGAACCGTTTCCATGTATGAGTTTGATGAGAATTGGCCCCAGTGCGGCCCCAGTGCGGCCTATACAACCTCTCTCAGGTTAACTGCACAACACCTGACTACCCCACTAGATTTTTGGAGATCAATTATTACAAAATATGATTGTGATTGGCGTGCGTTTTTACGCATGAATGGAACGCGTTGGTGGTCGTTGTGTCAAAGAGAAATTCAGAGATTGTAAAAGTATTCCACCGCTGCTTTAAATTTTATTTACACAAACAGTATCATGATTGTGTCTAGTTTTGTTAGTTTTGGCTGCTTCCCGGACGCACATTACCAAGGAAAGACTCAGGAGCGAAGTGTGTGTGTGTGT